CAAACTTAGTAGTTACATTGACACAAACTTAGTAGTTACATTGACACAAACTTAGTAGTTACATTGACACAAACTTAGTAGTTACATTGACACACCTCCACAACCAGGTGCAATTTGATTCTACAACTATTACGCTGAGAAGCTCTACTCAAACTCCTCCTTCACCGCTGCTGATTTCCACATTCATTTCGAAAACATCACAAAATAATAATAAAAAGGATGTCGAATCTCTAATTTATATTTTTCTCCCGTCTTTCTTTTTTATTCCTTTTGCTGCTTCATTTAAATTCTCCATTTTACAGATCCTTCACGAGTATTCTTCAGCAACAAGAAAACTTTGTAATAGCAATAACAACACCCCTTAAAACGTGTATTTGCGAAGCCAAAAGGAGGAAATTACTTAAGAAATTACTTTAGCTGCAGGGATTGAGAAGTCTTGAAGGAAACTGATGAGGCGGGTGGTAGAAGAGAAAGTAGATATTCTTTTATTAGGAGACTGTTGTTTTTCCTTTAAATTTTGCCGTTAATGAAATGAAGCTGGTAATTGTGAAGTAAATTAAAATGCTTTGCTGATGCAGGGGGTTCGGAGGAAATTAATAGACTTTTTATCCAAAACCTGGAATGGGCTCCAGAACTAGACCTCGCTAATGTGATTAAAATGCGTTTTACCCCAGTTCGGGGTATATTTGTCTGCCGAGCATGAGAAGAACTCTGACTTTCAACTTTAAAACCGTCCTGGCAGTGCCACTTTTAATTACGATGTTTGAAACCCCCTTTTGGCAGCACTGCAGCTCTCTAAACATAACGCACATAATGCCCTTACCCCCAACCGCTTCCCACTCCACAATACATGACTGAGGTATGTTTGAGGTGATTGATGTAAGTATCTATCTGTATGCAGCAGAAGAGAAAGAATTTTTCATGAGCTCCATGACTTTCTTCACTCACATAAATTCTGTGAAGGTTTGGTGGAGTTTCTTTTATGTGTCTGGCCTCTGGTGGATACAGTAAAATGTCAGGTTTCAGTGCACAGTTCTCAGTTTGAGGCCCTCAAGCTTTTCTCAAACACGGAGAAGTCTGTCATCACTCCGGTTCCTGGCAGTAGTGGCACATAGTCAGCTGCAGTGCATCCTTTACTACAACAAACGTATACTTTTCAAGAGAATATGACTGAATTTGGTAATGCTCCTACGAGCGCTGCAGTAACAGAAAAATCAAAGGTTCGTGGCGTTATTTTCACTTTTGTTTCACTGAGTAGAAAATAAAAAGCGTGTTCAGGTCGTATTAAGGTTGGAAAAAGTTGATTCAGGACTGAATGTTGGTCTTTATGGAAATAAACGTTAAACTGATTTTGGTAAAACTTTTTACCCAAATAGCGTTTTTTAACCTTGAAAAATCATAAAGCTTACACAGGAAACCACACAGACTCAGAATTGTTCCGGTTGCTGTTATTAACGCATACACACCGACAGCACAGGGTCAAGGTTTCAGGAGGCAGTGTTTTTAGATTGTCTGTGGAAATCCTTTAGCCTGCTATTGATTGTCTGTCTAAGGGAAACTATCTTATTCACGACTTCCTCCCCTGAAACACGTTACAGGTCATTATAATTCATCAGTAATTTCCTCGTTACACAAGCCAGCCTCATCCACCTACCTAGCACACACACACGCACCACCACTCACTTTGAGGATTTCTCCTTACCAATAAATCCATTAATAATGCACATATAGTCAATAGACATACCAGGGTTGTATTTTCTACTTTCTGCAATTTTCCATTTGACTTGTCTCTCTGTACTTCCCTCGCCTCATCCTCGCGGTGCTTTTTCTGTGATTTTGCAGTTTGAAAGGAAATATTAAGGTGCAAATATTCACCTCAAATTACAGTTGCGCTGCTTAGACTAAACATGCATCTTAGAGTTGAGTTATATATCTGATGATGACACTTTTTTTTAGGTAAAATATTTAGTCGATAGTTTCTCCTGAGTTTTTCTCTTGATTTTGTTTTGTTTTCGTTGTTTTGTCTGCTCCACAGGTTGCCTGCATGCAGCTGATCAATGCCCTGGTCACCTCCCCTGACGACCTGGACTTCAGGATACATTTGCGCAACGAGTTTTTAAGATGCGGCCTAAAGAAGATCCTTCCTGTGAGTTAGCAATCTCCAGAGAACACATTGTTTACATGCGTGTCATAAACATAATTTTGCATCGTTATTGCCAATCCTCCCACGACAACTTACCTCTGTCTTATTATAATTACTGAAAGCAAGATTTCCTTTTCATCACAACCCAAATAGCTTTTCGTGCACTTTAAACTTCCAAATAATTGGGATGTGAATGTTTTATGTAATTGTGGTCAGGCAGCATTCAGGCTTTCAAACCAAATTATTGAGATGTTAAACTGAGTTATTTTCATTACACACATACTAGAGGAATACATTTTATTGTTTTAATTTAATTAGTAGTAGTAGAAGCTTGTGCCAAGTATTATGCACTGCTAGCACCTCATCACGCAGGCATCATTATCGGCAACCTTACGCATCTTCGCATGAGCCGAAAGGCAAACGAGCTCCAACACATCATTCAAACTCTCATTTGTCACAAGTGGGGTGAAGATGTCACAAAGCCAGTTGTTAATAAGTCATCCCAGCTGTGCCTGTTGATTATTACTGTCATTACTTTAATTATCTTCAATTCTGCCCCCTGATATGAAAGAGGCTCAGTGTACAGCCATTCATGAATGCCACGTTTACCGCTTTTAATGCCGACATTCAAACTGACACTCTTTCATCTAATTATGAGTTATGCTCAGGAGTCAGTGTTGCTGTTGGAAGAGAACTAGTCCACTGAAAAAGAAAGAACAATTTGTTTTGTTCTTATAGTCCTTGATGCATGTATTTGGCTCTCCTCCTCTTCTCCTTCCCTCCTTTTTTTTGTGCCATTGTGCACCTCCCTCCGAACCAGCGTTGCTTGCTGAAGACAGATGGTGCGCCCAAAAAACGGTGCAGGGTGATTGATACCTGCAGAAATTGGGTTACATTTGGCCCTGTCTCCATCTGTAAATTCCACTGCCAGTGATTCATAGAGAACTTGTAAAGAGCACCTCTGTAGCCCCTTGTGGCTGGAACAGGTGTGCAGGAATTGGTACTGTCTGGAATACTTAGTGAGAGAGTTCACAGCATCTCAGTTCCCAGTTTTCTGTACACCTGGAAGAGGGAGATGAAATTTTGGTGTTAGTTTTTTTTCTCTTACTTTTTTTTTTTTTTTTTAGAATAAGTTAAGTTATAAATACCATAAAGCGGAAGTCTGTGAAAATTGAAAAGTAAAATTTTCACAAACCCATACATGCTAATGCGTCTGCAACATAATAATCTGCAGTACAGGATGACCTTTGGTAAAACTTAATCTAAACTATATGCTGTATGTCTAACTCACTGCAGGAGCTAAAAGAGACAGAAGAGCTGGACATCCAGCTGAGGGTGTTCAATGAGAACAAGGAGGAGGACTCGATCGAACTCTCACATCGCCTGGATGACATCCGCGCAGAGATGGAATATCCTTTTGTCCTCCCTCTGTGAGAATATACAGATGAACGGTTCTGCAGAACTAGCAGTGAGAGATGAGTGTATATCGTGGGTTTGGTTAAGCTTCATAGGCTGAAGCCCCCTCATGGCTTTGTTCATTAGAGAAGGATTCGAGGAGCTTGAGCACATTATCCAGCTTCATCTCTGGCCAGGTATACTAGGTAAATAACCTCGTAATCTTAACCTCCAGCCTCTCTTTTTTTATTAGCTCTTCTCCTCTTCACTTCACTTTTTGTCTTTTGTCTGTTATCATTGGTCGGACTCTAGTAAGACTCCTGAGGGAGATATCGAATAGAAATACTCTTCCCCTTTCTTACCATTTAACATTTACAGTAGACAATTAAAATTTCCCATGAAGTGATATTGTCCTAAATGGTAACATATCATATTTTGTTCTGTTTAAGTAACAGTCTGCTCTCGTTTCCCTGCTCCAATTTAGAAAGGTGAATTTTGACCTCTAGCTCTCTGTGGATGTCCATTTAACTCCAAACACTCAGAGTAGAAGTTAATAAGGTGATATGTAATTTAGTCCCAAGTTGGAAACTTCTTCAAGCACCCCAGACAAGAACCTTTTAATAATTCACAAATCTTCTCTAAGGCTATGTATGAATAGCTGACATTGTGAGCAGAGAAACCAGACTCTGACATTGTTATGCAGATGTTCATTCCCACAGCCTTTTTCTTCCACCAAATCCCACAGTTCTAGTACATGCACAAAGTGCTACTGTGAGTGACAGCTGCTGTTGACACATGTAGGTTAGGGGAGGAGGTAATGTGTGTGTATGTGGAGAGACGATATAGGGGGAAAAGTGCGCCGAGATTAATGATGTGCTTGAGCAGGTTCACAAATGAGAAGGTCCAATGTTTGTTTCGAAGGACAATTTGGTATTGATCTGTTAGGTATGAGCATAATCTCAACGCCCAGGGCTACCCTTTGTCTCTTTGCCTGCATGCGGACACATTCTTATATATGTACAGACAGGTAGTACCTCTGTTACCTGAAGACTGTATATGTGTCTTGCAGCAGTTTCATGAATATTAACCTGAAAGGCCTGTCTCCTCTGTGTCCGACCCAGGTCCAGGTGCCGAGGAGGTGACTCCAGGCCACTAATAAATATTAATGATCTGTGGAATGGTGATTGATTGACCCCAACACAGACTGGCCTACATCACACTTGACTGCCACTCATGTTTATTCATTATTTGGAGAGATAGTGTAAAGAGAGACAGAGAGTAAGAAAGTGAGCGTAGAGGAGGTGCCAATGAATAGATTGGCATTTTACATTAGGTTTATGTCTGCAGTTTAGTGATAGATGAAGCTAGTTGGATACTTTCCCAGTGTGAGCTCTTTCTCATGTCCTCTCAAATGCTGCTGTGGTGAGGCTATAATTGAATCTCACAGGCCTGGTAATTCTCCCAGGCTTCAAACTCCACTAATGCAAGGAAGGCAAAATGATACTTTAGAGAAGCCTGTATTCCCATCCCTGCTTCTCTAAAAATTTGATATGGGATAAGAGTTTAATTACAGACATTGTTGAAATTAATAGCAATTAATCGGACTGTCAAACAGTGTTTAAAAGAATTGATCTGCTCCAGTTGCAGTGCGTGCAGATCGTTTTGTATGGGTGACAGCAAGCCGGGCCATATGAAGATCGTAGTTCAGTTTCTGTACATTCATTTAACGGATATTTTCTGTACCGAAAGCAGGATGGAGGGAAATCACGACATATGGTGCCAACATGCTGCAAATTTAACGCGATTGCTTTGTAGTTACTGCGTTTCTCTTTGTAAATATTTTAACATACATTGTCAAGATCTGCACTTCGTGTTAGGATGGCAATCAGGTTTTTATCTCTGCAAGCTTGACAGTGCAGTCTCCTTAATCTACTTTTTTTCTGCACATTTCTGAGAGGCTTATTCCACTTTTTCTTTTCAGAGAAGATGAGTGCCCATTGGGAAATGGTCTTTTCTCAAGCAAACAAATCAGACAGACTCCAGATCACTCATTTTCTGTATTTATTTAATTGTTAGAGTTACACTTTAAGGAGGTTATGAGAACAGCACAAATATTTTACTGCATTAAATACGACATCAAAATTGAAAAGTTTTTCTCTCAGTAACTCTTTTTAAATTCATCACTTACAATTACATATTTACACATGAAGAATAAAATGTAGGCTAGTTCAGTTTTATGTCTGTTTTCAATGCCAAAGCCATCACTACCTCCCCCTGGGAAATGCAAACATAAGATGTAATCAGTAACTTTTGGAAATCAAATAAGATCAGTTTTTACTCCTCCTACATGTCAGTGTCAATTTCAGTTTTGAGACTCAACTGTACTTGTGCCCTACGAATAATCTGATGCTCATCATTCTTAGCTTAAAAATTCAAGCCAGTTTTTCTCTTATTAATTTTCCATCTCTTGAAAAGTCTGGAATAAAAGGGATACCAGAGGGGAGCATTTTTCATTCCTGATCCCTTTCCACAAGTTAGCTGTTTACGCTGTTTTAGCTCTCTTGAGAGAGGACGGATAAGAGGAATCGCATCTCTGTTTGCTTCTGCGCACAGAGTCCTTGTAAGAAAAGCTGGCAGAGATAAATAACTATAATGAAAAGAAGTAAGAAGTAATGAAAATCTAAATGTTTATTGCAGTTGAATGATCCTGAATAATGAGGAGTTCAGGTTGTGGGGGGTTTCCAAAGAAGTTAGCCATATCTGCAATAACTCTAGAAAGTAGAACATGTCACTGCAGTAAAGTTGCTTGTCCTTAACCTTACTCTTGCACTGATATGAATGAGGTGTACCATCTCCTGTCCAATATGGTGAAAGACACTGCCTCAGAGACCTACTTCCTGTCAATCCTTCAGCACCTATTGCTCATCAGAAATGACTATTACATCAGGTAAGTTGTGTTTGTGTTTTTTTACCTACCACTAACTTTGTATTGACCGATGACCTTGTGGTGCTCTTTGTAAGTTTGGTGTAGTTTTTCCTTTACTTTTCCCCCATAAAAAGTGCTACAAAAAGCATAAATTTTAAGGTTTGACATTAGGGACTTGGTTGTTTTGACTGACAGGTGGAGGCTAGTTAAGGAGCTGGTGTTTTCAATCATCATGTTTATGATGCTGGTGCTTTCTGCCTGGTTATTTGTCAATAATCTGACAAATAATAAGCCTTTTTTGTTTAATTTTGTTAACATCCCTGTTACTGAGCACGAATTAGCAGATATGAAATATGTGAAAAGCAGCTGCTCAACTGGGTCCAAAAGTAAAATAGCATTAAGTTACAAAACATGTGCACGTGTACGCTGTAGTTACATTCTGAAAGGGGAGAAAAGCTTTAAAAATAGCTTGTAGCTATTTTTTTATTAATCTCCTTTATTGTGAACTCCAAAGTAAAAAAAAGAAAGAAAGAAAAGAAAACACTGATCAGAGTACTGCAGGGATAAAGTAATGCCTCCATAATTGCAACCTCAGTGGACAAAGAGATTTAGTTTCCAGGTTGTCTGCATTTTTTAAATTTAGTACTGATTAGATTTTGGGGGGTGGAGGTAAAGGTCTGATATCATTTCGTCCAATTCATGTCAGTGTTGATTTCTCAGGAACAGCTGAGCCTAATTTTATGAAATCTAAGACAGCTCTAACCCAGGAAATCAAACGCCAACTTACTGTACATTAAGTTTTACATGAATGTAGAATGGGATAAAGTGACGAAGCGGTGACATTTTCTATCCAAAAGGTCCAAAGTCGACTTCACTTTGACACAATGTGGAAAATGAGGGAACATTTTCAACACCATAGATATTTCATTCTTGGCAGGTTGCTAAATTCTTAACATTGCCCTTGTATCATATTTCTTCAAAGTCTTCACTACATAAATTATAAATCTATACAGATATGCTTGTAAACTGCAACTTAACTGGTTAGCAGAGGCGGTAGTTTTAATTTAATTGATTTTAACCTGTGGGGGTTGCTTTTTATTTTACCTTTGAAGAGGAAAAATATCAGTAGCCGGGAAGGTCGACACTCTTCTAAATAGAGTGATTCTGGTGATTTCACTGCTGTGTCAGATCTTTTTGCAGAAATAAGACTTAAAAAAGAGAGTTCAAAGATGAAGGAAAGCTGTGAGGAGGACGATGAATTTACCATAGACAAGTTGCTGTTCCCCTCGAGTTATGAATTATGTATTCCTCATCTATTCGGAGGAAGTGAGAAATAGAATTCACATTAACCATCCAGTATCACTATGTCCACCTCAGCTCGAGTGCCCACAGTGTAAGCCAGCAGTAAAGAGAGATCAGTACCAAAACTCGTAAAAATCAGACGGCCTTTTTAAAGATATGTTTTGGAATATTTCTTTCTTCTTGAGCTTGCATAACAAAAGCAAGGAAAATCTCATACCCAAACATTATCACCCGAAATGCATTATGACTGAGGCCTTTTTATTCCTCGTACATCACTGCTGTGCACTTAGGATGATGGAGGACACAGTGTTACCCTGCATGCAGCTATTTCCAATAGATACTATCGGCTATTTTTTGGCCTTTGCCCTAAGAGTTATCAGCTTTTAGGGTTGTGGTTAAAATGTGTGGCTATACCATTTCCACAACATGAAACTAAAACAAAGTGGGAGGCCAGTAAATGGATGGGTTTAACTGGGATTATTTACTGGTGGAAGTCTTTTAAAGGTAGCTTTCACATGAATAAACTTGTAGTTGTATTTTTCTGTACAAAGTAAGACATTACATTTCTTTGTCATTGTATTAATTTGAATTACCGCTACACTTGGCTCCTTAATTCTCCTTTCAAATAATAACATTAAATGAGCGTTCATTAAATATTATAATTAGTCTTCTAATAATAAGACCTTCTATAATGGGCAGCTGCTCTGTCTACTGTAATTCCTTCTAACACAACACTAGTTGTTTTTCTCCCCTTTGGGGTTTTGGTGTATTTTTGATAATTAATCTCTCCCTGAAAGCCTAATGAATGGGAGCACATCAAACCCACCCAGTAAATATAGAGCAGATCTGCTCTTTTGGAGCCTGGTGATATGGGGATTACACTGGCTATGTGGAGCAGAGCTGGATCAAGTGGCTGGGGCTGTGCTGAACTGCAAGCTATCACTGGAAGAAATGAAGGTGCCAAAGTAAAAGAAGAGGTGGGGAACGATGCAGGGGACATATGCTTGCTTCTGGAGCCCAGCCCTGCCCACTGTGGAGGGGCCTGACAGTTCTGGGTCACTCTCTCCGTCTGCAGTTATCTCCACCCAGCCCCTATCTGCCTGGTGGTGGCGGAGGATGGAGGACGGAGGGAAAATAGGGCGGCTTATTGAGATAATAATGTGGTGTACATTGGTGACAGTTGTAAGCTGAGTGCCATAGTGCTTAAGCCATGCAGGGCGATGTGTGAGCTTTCACTCGCTTGTTCCAGTCATGAGTGGGCGAATCCACCAGGCTTAATGTATGGCATTTCATGCTTTCAAAACAGAGCACCTAAATGCTGATTTATTCTTATTTGCTTTGGCTCAGAATTTTGTGGCTTTTCATTTTCCTGCTCATAACATGATATGGTCTGTCCACCCACAAGGTATCATCAGAACATAGCCTTTGAATTTTTGTGTGGAGTTAAAGCCCCGAAGAAAAAAACAAAACAAAAGTTTTCTGCATTTAATGTCTGATAACAAAGTGTGTTCCTTTTTGCTCAGATACATACTTGAATGATGTACTTTTTTATCTTTTCAGACAAATTACCTGACAGCAGACACATTATTCACGGTTCTGCCTGCTAACATAATTATTTATTTTTCGTGACATTAATGCTCTTTCATTGTAGTGCTCTGGTACAGAGCCATTCAGGTGGGCAGTCTTTGATCAGACTTTGAGTGTCTTGTTTAGATCAAAAATGGAATAAAATGTCAGGATTTTTGGCAGCTTGGATTTTCATTTTTAGGAAGCTATAAATGAACTAATAATGAATTAATATTAGCCACATACAGGTTTACAGATTTTCCAGTGTTGGCTTTGTCATCTTCTTGTTGTAAAATTATGCACCCAAATGGTTGCTCGCAAATACACATTTATATTTTCTAAATAACAATAGCATTAATCTACATTAAATTAGTATTATTTGCCAGTGAAAGCCTCTCTGGACTGGTGTACCATGTAATTGTTCCTTTTAACAGAGGGACATAGCTTTTGCTCACTGCACCCACTAAAAATATGTTTATTTAAAAGAGATGAAAGGAGTTCATGTAATTATTGAACCACTGGGTTGTTTATCCTGTTTGTCCAATTGATAATGCTATATTCCACCAATTGATTGTATAATAACCGTTATTGCCCAATAAAAAATAAATAAATAGCATTGACAGAATTAGTCGGTCCTATCTGTGTGCACCTGTAAAAAGGATACTTTGTATTTATTCATTTATATTTAAAATAATTGAAAAAATCCATAATTTAGGTTTAATTTGATGAACATCATTAAGTGTCAGTTTTTCACATTTAATGGTTTTCTGGTCAATGTCTTGCTTAGAAAATAATTATCTCTTGCTTAAACTGCCATTGTATTTGCTAAATGTCACTTGCAATTAAAGCTGATAATGGTACAGAGAAAAGGTCACATACCAGCCTGTGTGCTAGAGCCGGACTCTCGGGCCGATTCGCACAACCTTCTTGAAAACACCAAGCACTCTGTCACACTCCTAACTGGCTGACATGTTTTTCTATTCATTGTGCTTTCAATTACTCACATTACACTGATTAGATTTACATTTCAGTTTTTATGGTTTCTCTAATTGGCAAAGATGATTGCAAATTATGCAAGAGGGCAAGCATGGCCTCGGCTACTGTCAGTCACCTTGAACTAACACACAAGTAGGCTAACACATACTTGGGTTCTGTGTACCCATTAATCTGCTAATTCCATGTAAGGGTTGATCAAATTTGATAGGGTGCCTATTTTGTCCAGCAGCACCCTTTTTGACATGGCATTTTGTGACCTCTGGGTTGGATAACAGACTCATTTGTGGTTAATTAGCCTTGTGGAGTTTGCGTCACTCATATCTTTCTGTGGTTTGTCTAATTGTTCTACTGTGTTTCGTGACTCTTCAGGCCTCAGTACTACAAGGTGATAGAAGAGTGTGTGTCTCAGGTGGTCCTCCATCGCAGCGGGATGGACCCGGAGTTTGTCTATAATAAAAGATTGGATGTGGACTTCACCCACATGATTGGTAACTAGAGAATTGTTTCATAATCATTTGTTACTTGCTAATTACACATACTGTAAGACGGCACAGCGATGCAGTGGTTTGAACTGTGCCTGTTATGTCATATGATATGATGTGTGTTGACAAACAAAATCTAAATGTTAATATATGAATAAAAAGTCACCTTTGCTTAAGGTAAAACAAGTACCTTAAGTAAAGGTGACTTTTTTTAGATCCTGTGCTTCAGGAGTTATATTCATTATTCTCCCAGATCCTTCGTCTAACATCTCCAGTGACTTGTCATAAGATAAGAGGGTCATTTAATTATTAGTTAACTGAATCCAGTTAATTCAGGAAGAAAAGGCCCTGTTAGACTTTAAAAAAATCTTGCTTGTAGTCTTCCAGTGAAAACATCTATTTGCACTGTGTTACTAATGGGTATCTTTTTAAACAGAGAAATAAATAACACCACCTTGTGTCTCTCAGTTGTGTCACCAACAGTTCTGCAACTTGCCAACAAAGGGTCATTAAAAGTTTCTAAACCTATGCACAGAGGATCGGTGCAGTATTAAAGACGTTTTTTTTCCTTCTCAGTTCACTTGGATTTAATCAAGTAATTTTAAAAAGGAAAAAAAAAAATCTGTTTTTCTTTTCACATCTTCATTTAGTTTTTGAAAGGTGTCTATTCACTTGTTTTTATCCACATTCACCACAGGTTTTTCATTTTCTAAATGAAAAATGTGTAGCTAAATGTGTGATTTAGCAAATAATTAACGCCTAGAATTTGCACTTTTGCTACCTACAGGGCAGATGTAAAATGTGGGATTTGTAAAGGCAAAGCTAACAAAATAAAATAAAAGATAGAGACGTCTGATTTGATCCATATTTATATACTCTGATTTCTTTCTTTTTGTTTCAAGGCACATACCCTTAGGCAACAGATAGCTAACAGTCGGTGGTGGTGTTCTTGTTACAATAAAACACTGATGTTAATAAAGAAGTGGAATAGATGAAGGGGTGAGAGATAAGTACATTTGCTAATCAGAACCAAGAGTTGCACAAGGTGCTTAAATGTTAATACAATTTTAATGTAATCTAACAAAAATAATATTATGTTATCGCTGGCTGATAATGCTACATTAAATGAAATGAAATTAAAAATTCAGTGATTGATGCGATCTCCCAGACCTAACAGTTGTTCCAAAAAAACAAAAACAAAGAAAAAACAATCCCCAGCTTTTATGTACTTTTAAAACAATATGCGACTGTAATTGCAAATCTCAGGAGCCTGTAAGGCACACCCACAGATGCATTTGAATTATCTTTTGACCATGGCCAACTTCTCTTGCAGATCAGCTTGTGGATAAAGCCAAAGTTGAAGAGAGTGAGCAGAAGGCAACAGAGTTCTCCAAAAAGGTGAGACATTAATCACTCCAGCAGCGCCCCTCGGTTGGTCAGCTCCCATCAGGAAAGTTTTTTCTTCCTCCGAGCTCCCAGACAAGCTATTGATTTTCCATGCCCTGATCAATACCTGGCTGTGACGGTACATGATCCGTATCAGCATTACAAGAATCAATGCAGATGTTCTGATGTATACTTATTTGTGCACAGGGTAGAATTAAGTTATATGCAGACTCTGATGTTACATGTCGTTCTGCACTTTAAGCTGATGCTTTATGGGCCTCTTACTGTATTTTAAATTAGTTGTGGTATCATTCAATTACTGGCTTGATTGATGGTTTGTATTTTTGGAGAGAAATAAAATTCAAAACCTTTCTTTCAGCGTCGTACTTTTAGTAATAAATTGTATTTTATGGAGAAACATTATCACAGGCTGACAACACCCCAGTGGGGGTCCTGGGAATGTTTTTTCCTTAAGAATCATGCCCCACCATCGTACCGGGCACCCTACTGGGGCAGTGAAATCATTGTAACGACACGGCATAGTTTCTGCAAAGGTTAGAACCATCAGGATACATGAAAGCCAAGCCTGAACCAAAGACAGAGGACAACAGGGCTCTGGGGACACGGGGCCTATGAACAGAAATTGTCCAAAGAGTGTAAGGTGGTGTGTTTTGGTGTCTGTTGACATGCCCTGTGGCCAATCTCTGGAGACACCCTGCCGCTCACCAACCTCTGTGCCCGTGTGTTTACATCTTTGTATATGTGTTCTGCACATAGACATCTTAGTATTTCTTGTTGCAGTTTGATGAAGAGTTCAGTGCACGGCAGGAGGCCCAAGCCGAGTCTCAAAAGAAGGAAGAAAAAATCAAAGAGTTGGAGGGGAAGATCCAAACCCTGGAGTCCCAGGTAAATCCATTTTTACTCTACAGAACAATGTTGCATTCCCCAGAGATCTTTATAGTGTATCTTTCCCCAAAGAACAAGAAAACAAAGATAGGTGAAGCTCGGTTGTCCAAAACTTTTCTGTTTTTAAAATGAAAGACTAAGAATGTGCAAATAAATGTGTTTGTCCTAAAATCGTAGCACAGAAAAGTAATGGCGCCACTAAAAAGAAAGTTTTGTTTTTATCCGGATACCTTTCCACCCCACTTACAGATGCAAAGCTACTGTAAGTGGGAGTTATCACCCATGCAAGAACATTTGATTTAATAAGGGGTCAATCTCCTTCTTAAGTTGTATTTCTTTATATGGACGAATTGCTCTATTGAAGCTTTTCCTATGAAATTCTATCATCACAGACATCGATTGCATTTCTTTTTCTTGGCCTCCACATCATTTCTTCCCAGGCAAAATCTTCCATTTTGAATGCAGAAAATGACTGCTATTTCCCCCTTAACCCAATTTCAAACACTTTAGTACTACCTTGGGACAAAAAGGCAGTTTGCCTCCCTGCTTAGGGAATTTAATATAAACCAGCATTGAAAGATGGTATAGCTACATCCGTACCAGAGGTTGCTTTTTCTTTCAAACATTCATATCTCGTGGCTTATGTTGGTACTTACCAACTGATAAACTGCACCTGCATATGTGGTCCAGGAATCACTTTCACAGCTCACGTCAGTCTACAAAAAATACTGTTATGCAGAATGAACTTCAGCTGGTTTCGTAGCCAAAGTTATGTAGCCGTTTTCTCCTTCGGATTCAGTTTGTGTGTAGATCTCACTTCTGTGCTTCATACGCCTACAGGGTGTGTCGCCACTTCTTACCTGCACTTGTAACCTCTGAGGTGTCAAATTGAGCCATAAAATATGCAACATTAACGCATTACATCTAACAGTTTAATAGAAATGTAGGTGTGTGTGCAAATGCACAGCCCTGATAAAAAGAATGAGTTTTACATATTTATAATTAACTTTTATCATCCCTAGTAAGTTCTAAAATCATTTTAGTTCAAGCTCAGATGAACAACAATACATTAAATATTGTTATTTATTTAACAAAACTTTAGCCAAATATAACAGAAGCAATGTGTGAAAAACCAAGTGCACCCTTCTAGTTCTGGGAATTAAGAGTTTAAGTAGCAGTCAGGTGCTGCTAATCAAATGCACTTGATTAACTGATCATCAGCGTGTGTGAGCACCTCTTTAAAAGCAATTCGTGACAATTTGCACATCTGGGTGATACAGGTGTGGGCTAATACAATGCAAAGGAGGAAAGATATCAGCAGTGATCTCAGAATAAGCAATTGTTGCTGCTCATCAGTGAGGAAAGGGTCATAAGTACCTGTCCTAATGGTCCCACTGTAGTCCATCATTCTACAGTGGGAAAGGGTATTTGCAAGTGGAAACATTTAGTCTTCCCAGGAGTGGACTTGCCAGCCAATTCACCACAAAGTCTGACTGTTCAATGCAAGAGAAGCTGCAAAACACCTACAAGCTACGTATGTCAGACTCTGCAGGCTTCAGTTAACATGTTAAATGTTAAAGTTCATGTTAGAAAAGGACTGAACAATCATGGCTTGTTTGATAGGGTTGGCTGGATTAAGCCTCTTCTCTCCAAAAACAACATGGCAGCATGGCTTGGGTTAGGAAAGCTGCATATGACCAAACCACAAGGCTTCTGAAACCATCTCCTTTGGATGGATAAAACCAACGTGGGGATAATGCACAGCGCCACATTAGGGAAAACTAAACACAGCACATCACCACAAGCATGTCAACTGTCAAGAGCAGTGGAGGAAGGGTGATGATTTTCAGGCAGGCTTGTTTTGCAGAAATAGGACCCTGACAGTTATTGAGTAGACCATGAACTCTTCTGTATACAAATGTATTTTACATTCAAATATGAGGCCATCTGTCCAGCAGCTAAAGCTTGGCTAAAACTAGGACACACAACAGGAAAATGATCCCAAGCACAGCAGCAACAACAAAATGGCTGTTGAAAGAAAAGTACTGCAATGGCCCAGTCAAGGTCCAGACCTCAACCCGAATGAAAAGATGTGGCAGGACCAGAGAGCTGTGTATAAATGAATGCCTGCGAACATCACACAGTAAATACGAGGATGCGAGAATTCCTCCACAACAGGAACTGATAAAGTCATCCAGAAAACGACTGATTAAAGACATTTGGGAGTTATTGCTGCTAAGAGGAGTTCTACATGCCTTTGAATTATAGGGTTTGCTTTGTTTCTCACACATGACTTCTACATTTTGGCTTAATTTTAATAATAATGAGACGGTTGCTGTTTATTTCAGGTTGTATTTACTTAATTTTAAGACCTTGTAAGGAATATGTAATCCTTTATTATGTCCTGATAAGTCAAAGCTTACCATAGAGAGCGTACTGCAGTAAACATCTGCATACCTTAGTATTTACCAAGTGTCTGATCAATAACAGGGCGTGTTTTTACCTGTGACATCTAAAAGGACAAATCTCTTCTACCCCTGTATCCACTGAGCATCTATAAATCCGTGCTGTTTGTTCATGGGTTTGGTCATATAACAGGTACCTCAAACAGGCTGAATTTGTTTTGGCTTTTCATTGTGCCCAAACTAGTTCATCACTCATCACTCCTCTCCTAAGCACTGCAAGCCCATTTTAATCAGTCCATAATCGCCACCTCCCCTGCTCAGCCTTGCTCTTTCTTTGCCTTGCTCAGTCTTTGTGTACATCAGGTTGTGCTACCTTTACCTGCCCTAATTCCCTTGTTGGAGCTTTTAACAATCTTTTTTCTGCACTATAACACACCTTTCCCTCATCTTCCCATAGCAGGTCTGTGTCTTTTGAAGACTAGCTGGCTATGGTGCATTAACACGTAGCGTACAGCAGAGAAGCCCCGGAGAGTCAAACTCTCTCTTTCTCTGTTTGTCTGAATGCTCCTTCAAAGAACAGCTACTGCTGGAGAGCTGCAGAGACATTAACCTCGACAGGGAAACATGTCATTATTTGGCACAAATTACCAGAGTGTTGCTGTTAGAACTTTAGATTATTCCCAATTCAGCCTAACGTAACTACGCTATATACCGTATCGTATTTGTAAGAGAAGACTGCACTTGCTATACCTTTTGTCAGAAAATTACAAAAAATACTGGGTCTGTAGTAAGAACTCAAACAACGATGTAATCCTCTCAGACAGATGAGATTCTGTTACTTCAGGAAGGCCGGTCTGTAAGAATGTTTTTTTTCCTTTTCCGTGTTTGACACGATACTAGTGCCGTAGAAAAGTCATTAACTGTGAGTGCGCAGAGCCTTTAAATCGGTGTGAGGACACGCATTCAGCTTGCCCATCAAAGCAGCTGTGCGATTACTGCCGTTTTACTGAATATGAATGAAGTGGGAGCTAACGCTAACCTTTCATCTCCTACACTGAATTCTTGTCAGATATTAAAACTCACGCATGCCTGAGTTGCTTCTCTTCACCTTGTTTGTGAACCAGCACATTTAATGAGAGTGTTTCTTCAGAAACTTTGGCATTGTAACAAGCAGCCTGTTTGATGTGTCTGTGTGATTATCTCCCAATTGAGTTGAGTGGAAATTCTCCTTGTAAACATTAGGAGAAGGACTTCGAAATCACAACAAAGTGCAATCCATCCACCTTTTCCCCAAACCTTAGCATGGATCCATTCAAGGCAAAGGGGAAGATATTCACTGAATTGGCTCCGGATTTGATGAATAATGTAGCACTGCAGTGGTAGACTGGAAAACTCAGTGCCATCCCATTAATAGGTTTTAACAACCTGGGGATCTTGTAGCTGACCCAGCATGGCCCCGAGAGCAACTGGAGGTGCAGTAGACTACTTTCTCTGCCTTTTACTGCCAAACTGCTGTCTACCTTGACTGATTAAAGAATTCTTCTAAACTGATAATGCCTGCAGAAGTTTCAGTGTAGTAAATATGTGTGCCTTTGCGTTTACCCCAGCATGCACGGTTAAATTTAGAATATTCACATCTGTCATACATCATTACATTCTTACACATGCTTTTATTCTAACTATCTGGTTTTCTCAGAAAGCAGGGGAAATGATACCTGCTGAAAATCTTGCTCTTTAAAACTTAGATATCTCTTAGCTTTGAACTTTTAATCCCTGAGGTTGAACTATAAAGCAGCATTTCTCTTTGCTTTGAATATTGCACTTCACTACCATTATACAAAATTCTTTCAAAATAAAAAACTCTTCTTAAGACACGCAGCTGAAAAGTTTCCATCTTCTCTTCCATTACACAAATTCAATATTTAGTTTTCTACAGTTCATAGTAAGGAATGTTCTGTGGGAATAACTCCATAAAAACACAAAATTGTTGTTACTTTGGAATATATTCCTATCTTCTTTCTTTTGGCAAAGTTGCCCGGAGTGAAATATCAAAGCAAAATCGGTACATTTCTAATACAAAGGCTGCGCAGTAAAATCAATGCCCATCACACATCTAAGAGTTCTGGGTTGAAATCTATTTTGTGATGCCAGAATGAGAAAAAATTGAAATAGAATTAGGTTTTTGAAGGTACACCAACTGCCAGTGATGCTGCGCCTTGTTCCTTTCACGCAGTCATTGCTCTGCGCCGGCGTTCTTTTGAAGAAAGATTAGATGTTGTTTTCAGTGTAAAAGTACAGTACACTCTACTTTGCCTTTTGCACATCAAATAGCTTGTTCAGACAAAATGGGAATATAACACTGTACTGCCATTGTCATTAACTGTGTGAAGGACGTCCTTGTTGTTTCTCTGGCTTGATTGTGTTTGGCGTGAGTACTGTACCTGCTCTATTGTACTAGTCTTCCTGTTCCCTGTCAATCTAACCCATCCCCATTTGTGCCTCTTTGTTGCCCTCTGTGCCTCTTGTAATGTATGTGTTCCCATGATGTGTATCTGTGGTGTGTGTATGTGCGTGTGTGTTGTGTCTGCACAGTTAACTATTGAAAATGACAAGCTCAAAGAGGCTCAGAGACTCATCAGGGAATCTGAAGCCAAGGTGGGTGTCCCCGTTGCATGTGTGGCCCTTGACATAATCTCACATTTAATCCCCGACAAATCCAAGTGCGTTTTAATGTCATTGATTTGTGGTGCTTTAAATCTGTTTTTGGATTGTTGGACTGATCTTTTGTCTCATGTTTTCTCTCAGCATGCTTGCCCTTTGTATTATATAGCACATATTACATAGAACTTTTGTGAACTTCACAAAAAAAGTTCACAAAAATACTTTTTTTTTTCTTTTGATATAAATGAATTATGTACTGTATTGTCTCTTGACTTTACTAATCAGCAACAAATAATGTGCTCTGTATACTGCATGTGTGGAAGAGCGAGAGAATATATCAACTGAACGCTGTTTTCAGCCGCACACATTGCTTGCTTGTTTAATGTAATTTTCATAAGTAAACACTTGTGATTGAATTTCTTTATCAGAGATGAGATTGGGCAAAGATTTAATCACATAGCATTCAGAGTTAATTACCTGTCACGCTGACCTCCCCTTTGAGTTCAGAAGAGTATGAATCCATTTGGGTGGGTTAGATTTTCTATTAGATTGGTTGTCTACTTTACACAGAGCTCCAGATGGGCTCTGGTAGAGTAACATCAATAAAAAAAGGATCACTTGCCAGCACAATATATTTTAATAAAATATGCTGCCAAATACACATATTAGATCTGAAGTAAAAGTGAATTTAAATTGTATTTTAGTAAGTAATCATGGTTTTTGCACATATAACATAGACCTCTATTTACTAGTTCACATATATATACTTTGGGTTTGTATATTTTGTATACACTGCATGCAAATCATGTGTGACCTTGATAATTGCAACACAAGAATCACCTTATTTCCTTTAAGGTAAAAGACGTACAAACGTTTATTCGCTGTACAACATTTTGAAAGTGTTTATTTTGATACCTGAGGAAGAATATGCCGGCGGCAGTGGTTTGGGATCCCAGGAGTTCCATGGAACACTGGGCTTATTATTACAGGGTAGAACAGGGAGGTGGATAGAGAGAGAGATACTCGGAGGGCCCCTCAGTATGGAAACAACGGCACTCTAATTTAGCAGCTAATTTGCTTCCATTCTCTCATATTAATCTTAAAAGAGAAAACGGGCCACAGAGGGTTTGAGATTGACAGACATGTAATCATTGGATGTAGATTTTACTGAGAGGCTCTGGGCAATCTGTGGGAAAAAAAACAAAACTCCAGGCAGAACACCTTTTTAATTCCGTCTCTAATAAACAATCCGCCAATGCTATTATGTAATGAAACAATATGTAATGTCTTTAAATATGAAGCCAATTGCATTTTAAGCACACAATCAAGTGAGTAGGGGAAATTTAAATAGTACGGAATTGGTTTTAGAAATGAAAAGTGCAAGAGGAAATCCTATTTGGTAAGAGCAGACATCTAATCAGCTCTGAAAATCAAACCCTGTCAGAGCTAGGGTGTACTTACTGTATTTGCATTATTTATTTTTGGTATATATCAAGCAATTACAGATTTTTGGTGTTTTGTTGATTTATTAGGCTGGAATAAAAACTTACAATTTACAAATATAAACTTTATTATTAATTATCTCCAATGAGAGGACGGTTTTCCAAACACATAAGGCCTCCCTCTGCACTTCAGTCCTTGTCGGCTCAGTTATCCACATGCAGCAGGTTCCTTTTGGAGTACCCCTTTATCTTGCAGTAGATCATCAGTAGCAGTCCAAGACAGTTTAGTTGGAGTACATCCAAATATAAGACAAGAGACGTTTTGGGGAGTAGTGGTATTGAGTTGGGAGTTGGGAAGGACTGGGACTAGCTGGTTACCAGCAAGTGAGCTTTCAAAATAAGAACACCTGGAATCTTTCTGTATGAGGCCTCATAGATAATGGTCACAGACTGAAAACCAAGGCATAAAGGATATAGGGTTCGTGACTATGCACAGAAAGAAAGGTATAACGATGCAAGACATTTTGTGTGTTAGTAAAACTGTCCAAGAACATGGTAGCTACTAGCTACCGTCATTCTCAAATGAATGAACCACCGACACAGTCTTTCTAGGTCTGACAGCCCAGCCAAGCTGATTAATCGTGGATAAATTGTTGTTGTTAGACATGTAACTTAGAACTTAGTGGTTGCTGTTGAGATCCATCTTTTGGAGACATTCTGTTCCCCAACATCTTTTACAGGGCAATCACTAGTACAGCACTCCACCAATCAGGCATTTATGGAAGAGCGGCCAGATGGATGCTAAAAGGCACATGACAGTCCACTGGAAGTTTGCCACTACCTGAATAATTATCACAAAATGAGAAGCAAATGCTCTGCTAAAGCTAAACACAAATTTAACTATAGCTGCATTTAACTATAACAGTGCAACTCTAGAGAGACATGAACATTGCTGTTCTTTGACACCCCCTATCATACCTAGTTGTGCCTGAGCATTATTGCCATAGAGAAAAGGAGAAACTCTAAAAAGCTCAAAGACTTAAGGTTCTTATTTCTGCCGCCAGAATGTTAACCAAATTCTAACTGAAGAATCTGCAAATGGAATATTTATATATTTGATTGAAACATAATCTATAAAAGACAACTGTTGTTACTTTGTTGCTGAAATATTGTCTAGTATTGATTGATGAGAGAAAAAATCCATTATAAAATTAGGCTGAAACATAATGTAGAAATGTAGACATCATAAAAGGGGCCTGAAAATGCTTTGAAGGAATGACATATAGGGAGTGGCGTGCAAAGGAAACGATCCTTACAGGGCTGATAGCAAAAGTTAACTTCGCTAATTTCCAGAGATATGCCAGTTAGACATAAGAAAATTCACAGACCTTTATATGTCTAGTGAATTGGCTCCCACTTGACCTTATAATTCTTGACTTTAGTGACAAGTTTCAAGGATATAAAACGGATGCATTCCATTAAAGGAGGTAGATGTGGCTGAGTTTGTAGAGCAGGTAATCAGTAAAAGCAAGATTAGTGGTTTGCACACACAGGACACGGAGGCCTCTTTACTGTCCTTGTAGCTTTTTGTATTAGGAACATCAGTTTCAATCAAATCAAAGGGAGTTTACATGCATATGTGGGCCATTGTTGACATCTGTGTTCTGTATTTGCAGATTGCTACAGGCCTTACTGCAACTGGAGCACCACCTCCACCACTTCCAGGAGGTGCTGGAGTTCCACCACCACCTCCACCTCCTCCTCCCCCACCTGGTGGTGTTCCTCCACCTCCTCCACCTCCTCCACCTGTCCCTGGCCATGCTGGCATTCCGCCACCACCTCCTCCTCCACCGCCAGGTGGTGGACCACCCCCTCCCCCGCCACCACCTGGTTTTGGGCCTCCACCCCCGTTTGGAGGCCCACCAGGACCTCCACCACCTCCTGGATTTCCTGTTGTTAAGCTGCCTTATGGACTGGAGCCCAAGAAGACCTACAAGCCTGAAACTGTCATGAAGAGGGTCAACTGGACCAAGGTATAGCAGTCTGAGCAGTCATTGGCTGCAGTAGATAATCTTATGTTCCCTTGTAGTATTAGTTACTTAACAGTGTACAGATGCAATGTTACACTTCCATTTTTGTTGTTGCATTACCTAATTTGCACATTATTTACAAGCATTTTTTTCACACAATTTGGACTGGCATTAGAAGCTGATTGATTGTATATTTTGTTGGTAGGTTTGCAGAGTGATAAAGTGTAAAGTTGAAGGTTCAAACTAAAAGAAACCTCTATTTAAATCTGTTTCTAATCTAGTCAAACATTCGTTCAGCCATAGGCCAAAGTGCTCCATACTCAGCACCCATTTCAAAGGATTTAACAGTAAACAGTTTTCACTCAAATGTCCTTGGATTTGCACATTCTTAGCATAATTGAATGGAGACTTTGTTGTGTAATTTTCCATCACATTTGAATATAATTTCAATAGGACATTCTCTCGCATTTGCATTGTATTTTGCCATAGATAATTTATCCGTTGCCCCAGGAGTTCTCAGGATTATTTTAATGGTTCTTTACTGATACTTATGTGACCTTGTGTTTTATTCTGAAATTACTGACTGCAAACAAAATATCAGACTAGTTTACTTCACATAATGCTAGAAGTGCAATGAATTTGTAGAATCAAGCCACTTAAAAAATAATTATGAAGGCTGTCGACAGTATCTATTCGTGTGCTTATTATTTTACAGTGCTTAAACAGGTCATGCACATTTTTCTGTCTTATCCCAATTATTTATCCAACCACATGCCACCAAAGGCATAAAGCGACAATGTGAAAATGCAAGTCAACAGTGATTGCACTGCACTAAAAAGCACTGAGGTGGTGTTCTGGGTTTGAATTATTGGTCACCTTGAGAATTCTTTAAAATGGCAAATATGCTAATGTTTGACTCTGTGTAGGAGGTTCCTGAACGGTAAGTAAGATTAATAATAATGGGATGTCATACCCATTGTGTAAACAGTCGGGGAAACAGCAGTTTGTTTCTTAATAGAAGGCATTCCTGTGTGTTTGTTTTTGCCTTGATATTTTAAATGTGATTAGTCATTTTCCTGTGAAATATCTATGTGGTTCAGTTGTGTTATATGACTTGTGTGCATGCGGTGTAGCACAAATGACCGTTGTCTCTGAAGTGTACAGAAACAGGTTAATGTGCAGCAGCATTAACCTTGCCTCCACAGGAAATGTAGTTTTGTGATGCAAATGAAATTCATAACCACCTGAGGAAAAACAATCTGTGTCTCTTGTGTCGATTAAGTGGGACATGAGTCGTCTGTCTTCGCTGTGTGCAGCAGGCAGAAGTATAGGAGTACTAGGAATGATTTGGTTGTATAAAAAAGAACGGGGAAGGACATTGTTTCATAATTTCAAACCTTCCCTCTATTAGACGATACATGTCCAACGAAAGTATCGTACACATGAGAAAATGTGACTCTTATAGTTTTAAGAAGATGTTGAGCAGCTACCATCCATCCATCTTCGTTTACTTATTCGAGTCTGAGGGGCAGAAAATGCCAGTAGAAAATTTATCAGTCAAAGTCCTGTACAGCTCTCACTACTGCTGCACAGGGACTGGATAGAGGACCAGTATCCTGAACCAGTCCAAACAGGTTCCCCTAAGGCAGACCTTCCCAAAGTGTGGGGCCCGCCCCCCGGGGGGAGGGGGAGCGCGGTATGAAAAGGGGGGGGGAACAAAAAACAAAACGCTTGGACGCTGCCAGCACGGGGCGCCCACAGAAACGCAAAGCAAGAGATGAAGCGTCGCTGAATATGTTTCCAAACCAACTTCATTCTAAGCCAAAGACTAGAAAATACGGTGAAGCAAATCTGCCCTTTGTCTTCACCTGCACAAGTACCAAGGTACACAGCAAAATCTCCAGTGTTAATTTAACACTGGAGATTTTGCTGTGTAGGTCTCCCTGCAGAATTGGTTTTCCCTTCATCGGGAGCAGCGCTGGGTTCTCCAAATCACGGACAAACAGGATCCCACGTTCTTCATTTTTACTTTACAAACACTTGTTGTAATGACTAACTACTCCTGACATGTTGGAGATGTTTGCTCTTTATACAGTAAAGTTACAGCAGGATACAAATAACATCAGGCTGATCCTGCCACGATTTGTCTAAATCACGGACAAACAGTATCCCAGATGTTTGTTTTTAAACCCATTTTGCACAGAGAGGCATTTTTTGAAAAATGCATTGACAGCAATGTTGAACATTATTACACACAGTCAGATTAACAGTAACAGTATTTTGTCTCTATCTGCCATTCTGCTATTCATCTCATGTAAACAATAACGTGGCGCACAGCGTGACGTGAATAAAGGCGCATACCTTTGACGTTGCGTGACGGACTCTGTATTCCTCGTCACACATAAACGCAAAAAAGGAGTTTTAAAAAACCGCAGTTCTCGGTGATTTGAAACGCCGTTTACGTGGACGAAACAGCTGCGTTTTCAAAAATACCCGTGTAGGTGCAGACGCAGCATAAAAGAGTTAGTAGTTTATTTTCTTACTACCTGTAATTTATTGAAGATTACTTGTATTTGCTTAATTGTTTACTAAATGTTTGAGGTGTGAAATAAACCGCAATGGAGCAGAATATGGGCGTGTGTGGTTGGAGGATGTGTGTGTGCGCACACAGGGGGGGGGCGCGAACATTTTTCTTGTAAAACAAAGGGGGGCCTAGCAAAAAAAGTTTGGGAACCACTGGCCTAAGGAATACGGTTGAATGCCTTCTCCAAGTCCACAAAGCACTTACAGACTTGTTCGGCAAACTCCCACGTAGCCTTGAATGTCCAAAGGAGGATAAAGACCTGGTCCAGCGTTCCAGTACTCATTGTTCGTTTCCATGAGATTCGACTAACAGACAGACTCTTCTCTCCAGCAGCCCACATTTCCATGCGACCCTACAGAGGCACATTAAACAAGAGAATCCCACAACATCTAGAGCCAGAACATAGTCGGGGTGAATTTCATCCATCCCAAGGGACCTGTCATCTAGGAGTTATGAAGTCAGTGGCGTCCCACCCTCACTGTACACAGTATGAGTAGAGCATCACTTTCCCTCCTCAGTTACTGATGGTTTGCCAGAATCCCTTTCAAGCTCTCTCAAGGAGTCTGGTTCTAGACCTTAAGCCATGTGTTGAGATGATACCTACTATATCTACCTGGTATTGCTCAACATCACTCATTAGTTCAGGCTCCTTTCCTACCAGAGAGATGATGGAAGTTTTAAGAGCTAGTTTCAGTAGCTACAGGTTTGACCAGTTTGCCTTGGGTTACGCAACCAGCATAAGCTCCCAATAACATAGCTCCTGGGATCACTTCGACACACAAACACCTTCACCACGATAAGGTGGAGATTCAATGGATGAGTTGTACAGAGCACATTGAGGTAGCTCATATTTAAGCTCAAAATTAAATCATTAAATTGCAGTAAGTGCTTTCTCACAAGCATAAAGATGTAATTTGTGTTTCGCTCTGCTCAGGTCCAACAGGGTAAAGCCAATATTCACTTACAGGCCAAATGTTAAACAAAATATTAGGAAAATGAGAAAATAAGTTCAGATTCATTCAGTTTTCTTTTAAGCCAATTTAAAATGGTAACACTTTATTTATTTTTTTATATATTCTGTATATATAAAAACATTTTATGCGATTTACCTCAAAATACCTTTGTATTCGGTCTTGAAAAAATATGTGACTAATTCACAAGCTTTTATAGTGTCTTTGGTGCTTTGTTTACCTGCAATTCAGGACCTCACTTAAAAGAGAGATGGACTGTGGTTAGATTGTTTCATGTCATTACCTTGACTTAATAGCACAAAGTAGGAGCAGAAAAAAATTCTAAAGCACAAGCTGTTTTGTTGTGCTACTTTCATGTAGACGAAACCTTTTAGTTGGTTAGGTATTTGGTTAAGTATTTTTCTGTTGCTTTTATTTCTGTCGGTTTAAAAAAACAAGAAAAAAGAGTGCAGCCTGAAATCTGTGACTTCACAGACTCGCACTCTGCATAGTGTATATTGGCAGATATACATGTCCTAACCTTAATATAGTTGCAATTAAAGTAGTCACTTCTGGAATTTCAATGTGCTTTGATTAGTACTTCCTTTTTATTAATAGAGTTCAAAGGGCCAGGCGTGTCAATGACTGTCACACAAAAGTCATAGCCACCCTTTGATAAAATTCATGAGATCCCTGTCTGTTTTTCTGCTTTTCATGTTGTGGACAGTCAAATACCAACCCTAAAATTGCTACTATGCTGTGTCCCCCCCCATTGGTCACACGCAATTGTGCAAACTATAAATTGCTTCCACGTTCTAAACACTAGGAAAGCTAACATTAAGTCATTTTTAATATTTATCCATCCATCCATTCGCTCCCGCTTCTCCTTTTCAGGGTGGCGGGGGGCGCTGGAGCCTATCCCAGCTGTCATAGGGCGAGAGGCAGGGTACACCCTGGACAGGTCGCCAGTCTGTCGCAGGGCCAACACACAGGGACAGACAACCATTCACACTCACATTCACACCTAGTGACAATTTGGATTATCCAATTAACCTATCCCCACAAGCTGCTTGTCTTTGGACGGTGGGAGGAAGCCGGAGTACCCGGAGAGAACCCACGCAAACACGGGGAGAACATGCAAACTCCACACAGAAAGACCCCGGCCTGATGGTGGAATTGAACTCAGGACCTTCTTGCTGTGCAGCAACAGTGCTAACCACCGTGCCACCGTGCTGCCTTATTTATTTTTACACATTTATTTATTTATATTTACATATTTATTTCGGTAAAATTCTTTTTCTTGCTACAATAATTTGTAATTCTTGTGAAACAGCTGTTATACGCATATGCAATTCAAACAAAGCAAACAAACCTATTTTAGGCACATGTGTGCTATGTTTGTATACGTGGGTCGAATAGAAGCAAATAAGAGCACAGAGGTTATCTATCCCGGACACCAAAACAAGCTCATGATTGACTCTGCAACACTGTTATACTTATTACTGTTACTATACAGCATTGGGAGTAATGGACCAGAGCTAGATGGAGATTGGTCTGTGTTGCATGAGTGTTTTACTTAGACGTCTTTCAGTGTGAAATGACTGTGTTTTCGAAGATGGTTATTGGCAGCTTTGCACTGGGTCAAGTGCAAATTCGAGTGTTTGACAAAAAGCCACAGAAGTAGTCCTTTTAGGAGGTCTCATTATAGCACTTAATACGGTGTACAGCGGAAGTAGGCAAATGGTATAGATATTGATGATACACTACTACAGTCATTAGATGTGTTCATGTCTTGATCTTCCTTTACACGCCTCCATCTTCGTCTTTACTAAGCAGCCGTGTGATTCCTTCGATGTTGGTTTTTGTGTCTGTTCACTCGGGTAAAGTTTAGCATGCGGTTTCTCGTCATATGCAAATATTAATGTATCCCTCACGTTCTCCTGTTGCTGTTTGGTTATTTCTTGTTTGTCACTCAGATGCTAAAGATGCCACTCAAGGGCATGTGTGTGGCCGCACGCAGCAAAAACACTCACAAACTCCATCTCCAGTGAGAAGAACTTTTGAGTGGCAGCTTGGTGGAATGACGGTTTCTGATTGTGGTGATAATGGAATCCTTGTGTCATTGCAGATAGTGCCTCAGGAAATGGCAGAGAATTGCTTCTGGATCAAAGTCAAAGAAGAGAAGTTTGAGAATCCTGACCTATTTGCTCAGCTTTCCCTCTGCTTCTCCTCACAGAGCAAAGGTAAGGAGGCGTCATCTTTCTCCACCCCATCCTTAATTAGTCAACAGACATATGCTTCCTTTGGCGTCTTTTCTCACTTAAAACGTAATTGTCTCGACACCACCACCACTGTTTCTGTTTGGTCTCAGTTCAAATCTCTATGCCAGTTATGCATACCAATGCTTGTGTTTCACTGTGTTTATGTGTCTATGAGGAAGTTAAAATGCCAAGTAGCTCCTTTTTGTATTTGTTGTTTGTACCCGCTGAGTAGTTTCAGATCAGTGGTTTTTATTTTTGTGTGTGTGGACGTGCACAAACCCGAGCTTGTACATATATGTGTGAATCAAGAGCGGCCATGCTTGGTTTGGTTCTTGCCTTTTCCAGTCCAGTAGACCAATCTTCCATCAGGGAAGACGTGAAGGCTTTGGTGAAAGAAGCTCTGGGAATTTACTTGTCCCGGCCAGTTTGTTTCTCAGATACACAACCAGGCTACCTAACTTGCTGATGAACAACACAAGCAGTGCAGCGCAAGTTTGTTTTTATATGGAAGAATATGTGTGTGTATATGTGTGTGAAGGCACTTGATGTATTCCTCCCATGACAATTTGAGTGTTTTCCACTTCTTTGACAGTGAGCGTGTGCATGTGTGTTTGTGTATTTATGTGTGTGCAGCACACCCCTCTAATTCGAGCAACAGTGGGAGGGGAGAAGTCAGAGTCCTGTCAAGCGCAGAACAGTCAAATCGGAGCTCTGTCAGCATGTGTGGACATAACTATACAGAATCCTCCAACTTTTCTCTTATACCCACCATCTGTTTGGACACTAGTCAGCCTGGCAGCAGCTTCTTGCTCCGTCTTTCTCATAGCCTCCAGGTCTACAAACGAGAGTCGTCTCTTTTTTGTACTGTGAAATAAATAGCAATTTTCCCTTGGCTGCCGCAAGGTGATTTACCAGCATAATACAGATGGAAGGAGAATGTGGGCTGCAAAGAACAGTTATTGCAAAGCTTAATGAAGTGACAGGGATAGGCCTAGCAGTCATGCCACTCCCTTCTCATCTTTCACGAAGGGATATCTGCCAGGCGCTATAATTTTTAACATGTACTCTTTAACGCTGTTCAAGTAATTGAAGTGAAACCCTTTTTTTCTGCAGTTAACAGTTATTTACTTTTTCGTTTATTAGATTAATGAGTTGTTATCGAGGAAGAAAGTGTTCATATTAAGTGTAAATCAGCGCTACGCTTGGAGAGTGCAGTAAAAAATGTTTCCCATTGATTCTTATAATAAATTAGAACTTAACCTTTTTTTAGTTTCACAGACACATGGCTTTAATTCAGCTTTAAATGTCCTTTTAAATTCTTTATTAAAGCCACTTTCTCGCCCACTGGGGATTAAAAAAAACGTCTATAGATAGTCCTTGTTCCCGCTGGCAGGGTAGGAATTCATGATCCAGCATTTCCCCCGGGAGTTACCTTTGCTGGATCCCTATCAATTACCCCTGCAGCGGCTTCACTGAATCAGCTCTTTTTCCTCTATTGTTGAAACAGAACATGATTTGCTCATGAATGAAAAATGCTGTTTAATGTTGTATATCTTCCACCCCCCCCTCCCTTCCCTACAGTGAAGTTGAAAGTCAATGCGAAGGGCTTTGATGTAGATCGTATTGCAGAAAAGGTGCTAGATAGGATTTTACTAAAATGAGATAGTAGTTCATTTGTTTTCCTCTTCTCCATGTTTCATGCTTCATTCAGTTCAATCTGAGGATAAGCGTGCTTAAAAATGAAATATTTTATCTTAAAAAAGAATAAGTTTGACCTATATTGGTGTAAAGTTTTCGTCTATCTCAAGTCCAGTTGTTTAACTGAGAATGGTGAAGTTTAAAGGAGTTTTGGGGGTGGGGGGAGTTTCAGGTGTCGTGACCAGCACTAGCAAGATTAATTTCTGAGGTCTCGTACTCTCAGTGTAACCTCTCATTGTAGCTACGGACCATAAATCCTTTGTGCTGATTTGACAAACAAGTCACTAGTGAAAACCGACTTCATTTGTCTGGGATATTGCCCAGACAATATCCCTGTTTTTTTTGTTTTTTTTAAATAACACACACACACTTGTTGTTTTTTCTTTGCTTTTTTGTGGTCCCTCCATCTTTGCCACAAGATGTGGATATTTATAAGTCAAGCACACTTTGGGGGCCTAGTGTATCGTGAAAGATGAGGCAAGCAGGTGTAAATGCCTTCCCTGCAGAGCTGCCCTCAGAAAATGGTGCAAAAAAGGCTTCTGTTATCTCCACGTTTCTTGGGATTCTTGCTTGTTACTTGCATTGTTGAAGAACAACACTTTGGCAGTAAAAGAAAAAAAAAAGAATCACTTTAACAGCCCCCAATTTTCAGATGCTTATTGCGCTCAGAGGCCTCTAAAACAACTGAGAATGCTAGACTGTCATCTCCCCTGCTGCTTTTATGAGTCTTACTGTTTAATGAGTTTTACCAAGAAAAGGAAATGATAATCAGGAGGGATTTCAAGCCTGGCTTCAGTCTTTTAAAGTGGCTATTTTTTCTTTGTCATTTATTATAATATGTTTTTTCAACTTGATTGAAAACTTAAAACATAAGTCACTACTCTGGGTCTTAACTGACTAAGTCATACTTAACATTTCTTTTTCCGCCTTTGGATGTTGATAAACATAAAAAAGTTGTATTGCACATATTGAAAATATAGCAGTTCCATTTACCCAGCCCATTAAATGGATGTGGTCACGATTAAACCAGGATGTAGTTATGCAAAAGAAGGATTTTAGATAGTTATTCTAATGCTTTGAATAATGCCGGTCGGGGCTGCATCCTGAAAGGCATACGGTGTAAAAATCAAACATGAGGGAATCTAACAGCAGCCAAAATATACATGTAAATATACAGCACCTGTTAAATCAGTGCTCTCCAGTGATGCATTGTTGTGGTTACAAGTTTCAGTAACTTTGTATGATTACAAAGAATAAATACAGCATAAATAGTGAAAAAGACCTTCAAATGAATCATGCCCCCTCCAAGAAAAAAAGAAAAAGAAAGAAAACTTTAACTCAAGCCATCGTCATTCAAACGTACACAAATGTAACGGTTTAAGGCTGTACAGCAACACAATCCAGCTGTTTCATCCAAAGTTTCTTTATTGAACGACTTGGTGTTGATTCATATTTTTGCTGTAAGTGGAATCAGTGTTGGTCAAGTTACTTGAAAAAAGTAATCAGTAACTAATTACTGATTACTTCCCCAAAAAAGTTATCCCGTTACTTTACTGATTACTTATTTTCAAAAGTAATTAATTACTTAGTTACTTAGTTACTTAGTTACTTTTTAAAAACACGATTTACACCCTGAAGAGGTGATAAAGTGATAGATCTTTCAGCCCAATTCTACTTTTTCTGCATAATCCATCATACAGAATGTAATCAGATGGAAAAGTCTCTTTTTAAAACTTGTTTTATTAGTTTTAATCTTTTAACTTTATGCATCAAGCAATAATTTAACAATATGCAACATTCTCTGACTGGAAGAAATTAGTTTAACATTTAAACCTATTTTCTGCACATTCCAGCACATAAAATAAAATATTTTGTGTGTTTACACTCAGTCTTTCAAATAGATGCAAGTAAAACACAGCAGAAAATAAATAAAGTCAAAGACTCAGCGGTCCTGTTGCTCTATTTTCACCTGTAAAGCAGGAGTGGGGTAGGCGGAGGTTTACCCTGGTGCAGGTGTGCCGCGGTCAGTGGAAGAATCCGCGAGTTTCTCTGTGAGTTTCCCATTACGTCGTAGCTACTCGGTGCTTGTTGGAAGTTTAGGGGTTTTTTCGCTGTAAAAAGAAGTTTTCTTCCCACGCACAGCGGACACTCATGTTTTTGTCACTTTTTATGGAATCAAACTCAAAGTAAGGTCAGTACTTCCACGCTTTAAACGCTGCACGCTCATAGTTGATCTGCAGACAGCTGTTGCCACAAACGTCGCACTCGCTTACGTCACTGTCATGAGACATTCTCGCAAAAAAATCACGGTTTTAGTAACGCAGTAACGCAGTTACAAGTAACACATTACTACCCATCTCTGAGTGGAATACGCTTCTGTGGCTCCTATAAAGGGAAGAGCATTCAACCCGATTGTTTCAGCCTAGCTGTGCTTGATTCTGTTTTACTCTTGGAAGAATGCAGCATGTTGAAAATGTGTTACAACTGTGGACACTGATGTCGTGCCATCGTCTTCACCTTTGACACCATTTTGCAGTTTGTGATCAGACATTGTTTCCACCCCACAGAGCTGAACAAATGTGTTATCATAGAAATCTCGGTGTTTTATTAAAACCAGCCAAGTAATTGTGTATGATACAACACTTGGTCTCTGTAGAACAACTTGGACTCGATTGTAGAATTATCTTATTTTGCATTCAGATAGTTTTTTACCCTTTTGCTATTTGTCTTTTGTCTTATTCGATCTTCTCTGCCTTTACTCGGCTGTATCGGCTTTTCCCCTTTACACTCTTCCCCATTGACTTGGCTCTCTTTTTTTCTTTTACTCTCATCTCCCCTCAGTTCGCTTTATCAATCAGTGTGTTGCGCCTTTGTACGGCTCTTGGGATCAAAACAGATTCACTCTGGGATTGAATGCGTGTAGCCATGGCCTCCTGCATTTGAAAGGCAATTCATTCAGCTGGAACTTTGCGGTTCAATTTGAAACAAGATTGATGTTGGCAAACTTCACACCCCCTTTATTCCAAAATGTTTCCTCCATTGCCCTCATCAATTGGTGATGGACAAAGGGCATGTGCCAGTTTGTAATAGTGATGCCTGGGGGGGCTTCTCATCAGAAACAACACAGAGAAAGAAAGGAGATTACTCAACAACAACTGAAATCCCGACATGGACTGTATATTCCTTATGTGTCATATATAAGTTGCAGAGAGGAATATATATAAAGCCTATCCGAGCTATCATAGAGTGACAGGCGGCGCACATCCTTTTGTTGTTCGGGAATT